TCACTTGTCATGGATCTTTTTTGACGTATTGCTTCAGCAAAAATGTGGTCAACTGTAGAGGGTGAACATAGAGTAGAATCTGTAACAGTAGCTGGTGATGAAGAGATGGAGGATTCTTTTATTAACCCAGAAGGCTTCCAAGTCGGCCACAGATGGAGCTGAAGAACCATGTTCTTTTATTTCTGGAGTAGAAGGAACAGATGAATTTGAATTTCCTGCTATAACTGTTTCGGGAGCAGTTTCGGTTACAGAGCCGATATTCCGTTTTCTATTCTGATAAGCTAGAAGCTGTATTGGATCAAACTCACTTTCTGGATAACGATGGCGATTCACTGGAGAAATTCCTGTGGTGATAAATCCTGCTTGGATATTCGCTTTCGTCATAGCTTCTGCCCAAACTAAAGCCAAGAGTTCAACAAAATCACGTTTTTGTAAACGTCCCGTTCCAACACCAATATTGGCTTTGCCAAACTCAACCAACTTTCGGTCCCATGCTTTTTTCACCGGACCAAATACGCACTTGTCTGAGGGTTGGATTTTGTCTGTGAGATGGTTGGGAAATTTTATAATTTGTATATATTAGCCTCAATAGCAATTTCTATTATGCGTAGACTCATGTGGCTGCTATGACCATCATATAGAAGCAAAGCGCTGCATCCGGTAGTCCTAGATCGGTACGTTTGTTACGGACATGAGTTATAAAACAAGTTTGCAGCCAATGAAAAAATTGAGGTTCTTCTATCCATCCATTTCGCGATGTTGCGTACACTGTTCCAGGGAAAGCGGCGGGTGATGTTCAACGGGCCTGGACCGCAGCTCCTTTGAATATAATCAGAGGTGGAAGTACTGTGCCATCTGCTGCCGCACATGCCAATACTGTGGTGTTTTCACGACCTGAGCCCCCACTTACGCGACTCAAGGCATTTACTTTGATGCCTATGCCACGGACTCTTGAAGGGTCGGAACTAAACCTAGATTCATCAGCATTGAAAGTAAATGATGGTAGGATATTGTAACTCGCAACTACTTTATCCAGTTTATCGTAGAAATCATAAACTACTTCTGGGTTTCTTGCTAACATCCTTGACTTTTGGAGATGTTCAGGTTTCTTCAAGCTCAGCCTAGGATGGCGTGACGTAAACCCAATTTACCAATCGTGTCCAGGTTTTCCATTTTTAAAGCTCGTTCCTATTTGAGTTTGTACCACGTAGCTTTGCACTAATTGAAGCAGTTCTTCTTTTGAGCAAGGGTAGCCCATTTTTGATCTTTCCATGAGACATTCCGCAATATCATTTTCCACTTCAGGTGTCAGAGCGGGCTTTCTCCCTCCACCTAATTTTCCTTCGGGAATTTTACGACCATTTATTCTATTGAAGATATTAGAAATTGGTATTCTGTAAAGATCAGCAGCTTGTCTATATGTCAAATTATTTTTTTTTTTTTTTTTTTTTTTTTTTTAACCATTTATTCACAAATTTTTTTTATAGTACATTCATATTACACATAATCTTAAATCAGTGTATAAAACACTGTTCTCAAGAATATAATTTTAATAACAAAATGGTGATGCTAAATCTAACTAAAGTTAACAAACATTTTTTTTTTTTTTTTTAAATATTTCTATGAAAATAAATATTATTATTAAGTTATATCAGTACCTAAGTGCATTTTGAGTTTCCTATGAAATTGACTAAAGTTTTGTAACTTTTAAATTAATAGGTAAATTATTATAACTCCTAGATGCAGAATGCATGGGGGAGTGAAGACCAATATTTATTCTACTATTGCCAATATAAACATTGTTTTCTGATCTTGTGCCGTAAGTATGTATTTCATTCTGAAAAACTAGCCCTGAGTTGCATTTTTGTTGTTTATGTATAATTTTGTACATCAGTTTGCACTGCTCAAGCTGAAGTAACATTTCCATTTTGTACACATTTAGTTGTGTATATAAATATTCTGTGTTAGTTAGTATATTGTAATTAAAAAGAACCTTTAAAATTTTGTTTTGTTGAACTTGAATATCATTTAAATTGGTCGAACTGCATATGCCCCATATGGGAATTAGATATCTTAAATGGGAAAGAAAATATGAGTTGTATAAATTCATCTTTGTATTATATGTAAGATATTGTCGACATTTATATAAGATCGGTACCATTGCATTTAGTTTTTCAATTACGTGATTAATGTGGGGTTTCCAGAGCAAGAGATCGTCAATTAATAGTCCTAAATATTTAATATTTTCAACTTGTTCAAGAGAGACGTTGTTTATTTTAATCTCAATATTACCAACTATTTTATTTTTTTGTCTAAACACTAAATATTTTGTTTTATCTAAGTTAATTTTCAATTTATTTGAATACAACCATTCAAGGTAACGATCTAAATCTTCGTTTATTTGATTTTTCAAATGAGTTTCTTCTTTTCCTGTGTAGATAAGGGCCGTATCATCAGCAAATGTAAAATAATGCGCTGTGAGATTTGCTAGTCTAAGATTTAAAACATATAATGAATAAAGCAAAGGTCCTAATACTGACCCCTGCGGTACCCCACATCTATTTGTTAACATTTCACTTTGAGTATTGTTTAGTTTAACATATTGGTAACGATCCCTCACATATGACTCAATTAACAATAAAAAAATTACCCTGAAATCCCAGTAAACCCAATTTATGTAGCATTTTATCCAATGAAACTACGTCAAAAGCCTTCCTCAAATCGACAAATATTGCAACTACCACATTTTTCTGGTCAAGGTTTTTTGAGACATAATTTACAAAATCGAATGTAGTTGATAGTGTGTTACTACCCTTGATGAAACCATACTGAAACCTGTCAACTTCTATATTATTTCCAATAAATTGCAGCATCCTACGTTTAATGATTTTTTCTATAATTTTTGAAAAAATACTAATAACTGAGATAGGTCTGTAGTTATTCATAAGATCCGCCTTTCCTGATTTAAATATAGGATTTATTTTACTAATTTTTAATTCTGGCGGAAAAGTGCAACTAACAAGTACATTATTTATTAACTTCGTTAAAATCTCTAGAATATAATTTTTTAAACTAATTATATCTTTTGTTGTTATTCCATCGTGTCCCGGTGCCGAATTTTTTTTTAGTTCCTGTATAATTTCTTCAACCTCACAGAAATTCGTCAATTCAACATTTGTTATGTGGTTATTACATAATACCTCATTAAATTCTAAACTATTATTATTTAGGTTCATTTCTTCATTCAGTTCATTAACTATATTCTCTCCAATATTCGCGAAGTGAGAATTTAAATTATTTACAATATCTACAAGATCTTCAATTTTGTTATTGTCTACTGTTAAAAAATCAATATAATTATTTTTGGTATTTTTATTGAAAAAACTATTAATAAAATTCCATTGCATTTTCTTGTTATTGCCGGTCTGGTTCCACTTTGTACGAAAGTGACAATTTTTTGCTGATTTAATTTTATTGTTAACTTGATTCTTTAAATGCCTAAATTCGGTCTCAGCTACAGCGTTGCCACGATTTTTTATCATTCTCTCATAGGCTTTGTCACGTTTATTCATTAGGTCCAAAATGTCTTGTGTAATCCACTGGTTGTTACCTCTTACTCTTATTGGTTGCAACATCCTGCACCGCTTTTTTTAAGTCTTCTGCAGAATATAGCCGCGCAGGTCTCTTTTTCACATAGGTTCGTGGCATCTGAAAGATTTTACACCTTAAACAAATTGCTTGGGGTAAAAGAAAACATGTTTTCTTTTACCCCAACATGGTTGAATGGATGGGGTAAATGGAAACACCTCGCCGTTTCTATCCGAACAATATTATTGACCTAACCACAAAAAAAAAATGTCAACAGACCCTGCGTTTACCGTGATATAATGTTGAGACTAATAATATCAACATATTTTTTAATGAAAAAAAAAGTATTTAATGTCTGCGTCGACCAAAATGCAGGTCAAATTATATTGTGGTAAATAATTTCAATCAACTTACCTTCATATTGAACGTTAACCGCCATCTCACTTTATGAAATTTTATGAGCAGTGTTGCCACTACAACCAACGGTCATACTTCATATTTAAAAGCGGGATGTTTGAATAGGGACTTTGACCTGTTTTCATTTACCCCTAGTTTTCATTTACCCCGATTGACCCTATATTATTTTTATATCAACTTATTCCTTAAAAAAAAATGTCCCGATTTTTATTCAAAGTCCCGATTTTTCAACAGCTTTTTGATTGGTATTCCCGATTTGTAGATATTTCAATCTGGCAACCCTATTCCTAAGGCACTCTTCTAAACTGAATAGGTACCAAAAATCTACTTAACCCTTCCCTCCCTCCAGCAGAATGGGGTGAATTGTGAATCCAAAATTTCACAAAAAATTCGCCAACTTATTTGTTTCACCCTGTATCTTTTAGCAGGTGGACGGAAATCTATTAACAAATGGATATTAAATAACAATTAGGTCAATTAGAGCAGCCTTTCACTCCTGAAAATTTGAACAAAATCAGCCTGCTATATTTTGAGTAGTCACAAAAAATGACCAAAAATTAGGGTATTATTCGAGTTCCAATGATGCGTAGTTTGTTTACTACTTATAATAATGATTATTATTATGGGCTTGGGCTATCTACTTTTGCTTTTGACAAACAGATAACTATTTAATTAATTGTTATTTGAAACTTTTACGCATTTTATAAATATTTTTTTAAATTTATGACGTAGCGCCTACACCTACGTAATAACATACGGAGAAAAAAATATAAACAACAAACAGGATAATAAAAATTCAAAATTTGCCTCTCCAAACACATGAGACCAATCACATGACAGCAATAAACCAATTCCTCTTTTGTTTTGATTATGAAAGTCTAATCGAAAATCGATTTTCGGCTTTCCGCCGACTAGACGTAAGGATCGATTTCGCTCGCGCATGTGACCATCAGCTGTTTTGCACTCCGAAATCTGACAGTTCTCCCAGGCCATAATCAAAATGGCGATATAACTTGAATCGAGACAAAGGATCTTGTTGAATATTTTACGATTTTCGGTAAAAAGCTGAGTGATTGTGACGAAAATTAGTTGAATTTGATTAATTGATTATCGGAGAAGAAAATGCTAACGCTGGAAGTTGTGCCAGAACGTTCGTTAGGCTGTGAACAATGGGAGTTTATTTTAGGTGGGTACCAAATAATTTTGTTTTTGTCTTCGGTTGGTAGTTGTTTGAAATGCGTTTGATTTATTTTAATTGTGTTGCACCATAAACACAACGATTTAATGGCTTCGTATATTTTTTGAATGACTCAATTTGCTTATGAATATGAATACAAAATAATAACAGCATTGACCTTTGATAAAAAGGCAGTTCATTGACAGATAGGTGGAGGACTGAAGGTCTTTTTTCTATTTTGGTTTTTTGGTAAATAGTTGTTTTGTCTGGGACAGGAGACTTTGCAGGATAATGATCCTAGATCGATTAGTTTATTAGGAATTGATTTATAATAAATTAATCCTTGTTGAATCAATTTTATAACTTTCTTGTACCTACTTATTAAAACATTTCAGTTTTTTGTTTTGTTCGTATTTAACTAATTATCTACTTGTGTACCCACTTAAGCAGAATTTACTGTTTGGTTATCAGCAGATCAGCGTTCAAACAACAAATCAAATCTTCAAAGAATAAAGGAAAGTGTCATAAATCAGTTTTAAAAAAAATTATAAATTACAAAGGTTTTGTAATCTAATGGTCCTTGTTTCAAAATTTGACATTAATATTCATTATGAATCATAATATTATGAATCGAGTTATGAATGCTTATGACTCGGCTTATGACAAAGTATTATTATCACCTATTATTATTTTTATTAGTTATTAAAAGTGATGGTTGGCACATATTTTATTAAGGTGTACTCCAGCCAGGTGTACCTATTAAAGTGTAAAATGCAATTTTAGCATGATTACAGAAATTAAATAGAAGCATTATTTCACAAAAAAAGATTAATAATGCCGAGAATAATATATTCACAGGGTATGAAGCTATTGTTTCCTCTATTTAGATTATCTGTTCATTTTTAGCCACTATAGTGTATCATTCTTGTTTCATTATCAATTATTACTTAGTTTATCTTCATCCAACCGATTTTTGAATGCGTTTACACTCGCTGCAGACACTGTATTTTTTTCCAAGGCATTCCAAGAGTACACTACTTACACGATTATTCCGAGCTAATTTTGCAGCTTTTTCATTCACTAGTTTTTTTGTGTGCCCACAAAGTTGTTGATTTTGATAGTTTCGAAAGATTGTGAATATTGTCACAGCTTTGGGTTGCCTGACAGAAATCTTGGGTTCGTTGTTCGTTTCGTTTATTCCAAAAATCAAAGTCCAATTAATACAGCAATAATTTATTCCACTTAAAAATACACTCTGACACTAATTACTTTAATAACTAACTCAACAATTAAACTCTTTACAATCACTATTTAATAAAGAATCTATCTATCTATTCCTGTAAAATCTAGAACAATACACGATAATGTTATTTCTCGATTATAGTAGAATAATTCGCTAGATTCGAGGATATTCGACATCGATTCTTGACAGCCTGGCGGACGCCTATTCTAGCAAGAGCGTTTAGCATTATTGTAACACTGTCCTACTCTTAAGGTTGATCGTCCCGATCAACTTCGCGCCCATGATATTTTGCCAATCTGTCCAGATGTACAACTTTCATCTTACTCCTGGTGTTGCGCTGGACTCGATAAACCAAATCATTGATCCTCTTGATTATTCTGTAGGGTCCCTCCCATGCTGAAGACAACTTCGGTGATACTCCTTTCTTTCTAGCTGGATTATACAGCCACACTAAATCACCTTCTTGAAATCCCGCTGAATTGGCTTTCAGGTCGTATCTGGTCTTCATCCGGTCACTGGCTAGCTGAATATGCTCCCAAGCAAAATCATGGATACCCAGAAGTCGTGCCCTTACTTCGTCGGCATAATCTCCGATTTCTCTCCGTTCTTCTTCAGGTATCCCAAACATCAAATCGCAAGGTAACCTGAGTTCTCTTCCAAAGACGATTCTGGCTGGACTTTCACCTGTTGACCACTTTTGTCAGGTGTTCCTCTATGGTCTTATTAAATCGTTCTACCATGCCATCAGACTGTGGATGTAAAGGTGTTGTCCTGGTCTTACGGATTCCCATGATCTCACAAATTTTCTTAAAGATGGCAGATTCGAAGTTTCGTCCCTGGTCTGAATGTAACTCTAGTGGCACACCATGATGAATAAAAGCTTCGTCCACTAGCACCTGGGCAACAGTGATGGCTTCTTGATTGGGAATAGCGAAAGCTTCTGGCCATTTACTGAAGTAATCCATGGTAACTAAGATGTATTTGTTACCACGCTCTGACTCTGGGAACAGTCCAGCAACATTTATCGCTATTCTTTCAAATGGGAGACCGACGTTGTACTGTTTCATGGGCCCCCGAGATCTTAGTTTAGGGCCTTTACTGGTAGCACAGATGTCGCATTTTCGGCACCAGCTTTTAACGTCTTCATGGTAGTGAACCCAGTAAAAACGTTCCCGAATTTTGTCCAAAGTCTTGTTAACTCCGAAATATGCCCCTGAAGTTCCATCGTGTATCTCTTTTAATACATCTTCCACTCGGTCTTTTGGGATAACCAGTTGGCTCTTAGTGGATTTTCCATCGGCACTTTCCCAAACTCTTTTGAGCAAATCATTTTCTATGGCCAGAGAGTTCCATTGGGCCCACAACGCTTTGTAAATCAAGCTCTTGTTTGACACTTCCCTCCATTCTGGCCTACATTCATCATTTTCTTTAAGATGTAGAATTTGCCCGATGTCCTGGTCTGCCTCCTGATCTTCTCTCATTTGTTTGGTAGTCCATTCGTCATCGACGATCAGGCCCGTTCTTCTTACAGCTGAACTAATGTTTCTCTCATGTATATCGATTCTTTGACAATGCTTGCAATTTTCTTTACATGGCCGTCTAGACAGAGCGTCAGCATTTTTATGCAGGCTTCAAGGTCGATGTTTAATTTGGAAATCTTATTGCTGCAATTTCTCAATCCATCTAGCAAGCTCTCCTTCAGGAGTTTTCATTTCTAAAAGCCATTTTAGAGCTGCGTGATCTGTTCGAATTAGAAACTTGCGTCCGTAGAGATACTTATGAAAATGGTCGACTGCTTTTACTATGGTAAGCAACTCTCTTCTGTTGACACAATAATTTCGTTCCGGCTTTGATAAACTTCTGCTGTAGTACTCCACGACATATTCTTGTGAATTTTGGATTTGTGAAAGGACAGCTCCAACACTGGTGTTACTTGCATCTGTGTCCAAAATCAACATGCCTTTGTGATCGGGATAGGACAACACTGGGCTCGTACATAATGCTCCTTTCAATTTTCTAAATGCGGAATCGCATTCTTGGGTCCAATTGAATGTTGATTTTTCTTCTGTTAATCGATGAAGTGGAGCAGCTATATTGGCGAATCCTTCCACAAATCTTCGATAATAAGAACATAATCCTAGAAAACTCCTTAGTTCATGTTTGTCGCGTGGTTTTGGCCAGTCCCTGACAGCATCTGTTTTTCCTTCCATAACTTGTATGCCCTCTTCAGATACCACGTGACCTAAGAATTCCACTTTCTTTTGAAATAGGAAACACTTATTTGGATTGAGTTTCAAGTTGGCATTCCGGAAGCGGTCAAAAACTTCTTTCAAGTTATTGAGATGTTCTTGGAACGAATTTCCCATAATCATGACATCATCCAAATATACCAGGCAAGTTCTCCATGTAAGGCCTCGCAAAACAAGATGCATCAGTCGCTCAAACGTAGCTGGAGCATTACATAATCCGAAAGGCATTACATTAAACTGGTATAGCCCGCTTCCGGTACTAAAGGCAGTTCTCTCTTTGTTATCGTCATGTATTGCCACTTGCCAGTATCCACTTTTGAGATCCAAGGTGGAAAACCATTTGGAGCCCGATAAAGTTGTTAGTGTATCGTCTATTCTTGGGAGAGGGAAGCTGTCCTTCTTGGTGACGTCATTAAGCTTTCGGTAGTCCACACAAAATCTAAGACTCCCATCTTTCTTTGTAACCAATACTACTGGCGCGGACCATGGACTATTTGACTCATCAATGATTCCCTCATGAAGCATTTTTTCAATTTGGTTTTCCACTTCCTGTTGCTTAGCTACTGGCATACGTCGTGGTGGTTGTCTAATTGGGTGTGCCAATCCAGTATCAATTTTGTGTTGAATTAAGCTGGTTTGTCCAGTTTGATTGTCCATCATAAATACGTCTGCTTTTTTCAAGATGAAATCTGTGGCTTCTTGGAGTCTATCTGGATCGAGATGTTTCCATTATTTCGCCAAAGTCTGCATCAAGGCGTCTGTATCCAATTTGGATTTCACAAAATGTCGCTTATCTGGTAGGTCACAGTTCGATTTATGCTTCACTGGTTCAAGAGCTCCAATAATGTCTCCTTCTTTTATTCTTACTGTTTCGGAAGAAACATTGGCAATTCTTATCATAATGTCTCCATTTGTTCTTACTAGAGTCGTTCCAACAAGAAATCTTTCTGGTTTATCTCCAATGAAATTACGTGTTAGCCCAACGCAGCACCCATGATTTGTTTCTAATCTTCCGCAAATGATCTTCTCAATACTGCCAGGAATCCTCACTGGGGTTGTGGCCAAGATCTTAACGGCATCGGATTCTTCTTGTGTTGTTAGGACAATTTCTTCATTACCAAATTTAAGGATGTTCATGGAAGGATCAAAGGAGAAACATTGTGGCCGATCAAATCCATTCCCAAAATAAAATCATCTTCTATATCGGCGACTAATGTTCTGTGCCTGAAGGTGGTAGATCCAAAAGTGAGCTCAACCATCGCTTCTCCTTGAACTGGTGAAGATTCGCCGGTGACTGTTCGTAGTGACAGGTTTCTAGTGAGCGGTTGGATTGCCCGAGACTTGATTAATGTTCTTCTAATTATGGAAGCTTCAGCACCCGTATCCAAAGTAATGGTTTTCAATTCTCCATTGATTTGTCCTTCGAATTTTAATCCTCTATAATGACTGCCCAATGATTTTATGTACACAACTCTGGGGGCTTCGTCATTACTAGCCAGCATCCTCCCTTCCGTACT